GTGTTTTTTCCTAAAATGGTAGCTTACTAAACCAGTCACATCTTGTCGATAAAATTTAAAGACTTGACTGATTTATCTTATGACTTTGTATCTACAGAATGCTTGAGATACAGAAGATAGCTCTGTATAACTGGAAACATGGACTTCAGCTTGCATTAAAATTATGAGAACAATATTGATTTCTTTAAAAACTAAAAAGATACTGCTGGTATCACCTTGGTAGGGCCTGAAGCATTTCCCTTGTAAACTTCCTTACTGATAGAGTGCTCCAATCTTTTTCTTGCCCATTCTGGTGGACCTTTATCTAAAGCATCATAGACACACTTTCTGATCCTAGCTCCCACATTAGTGGGCAGCTTTCTTACAGGTTCAAGAACTCGTGCCCACTCAGGAATTCCAGCATCATTCACCTTAATATTTTCACGTGAACTAAGTGCATCGAAGTCAAAGAAATCCACACTTGAAATATCAGTTGTATTTTTCAATGAACCAAAGATTTGCTTTGTAGCCTCTGCAAGCAGCTGAGAATCACAAAAATTAGTGGATCACAATTCAATAACCATTCAATAAAATTCAGGAACATGAAACAACAACAAAAACAAAATATGGAACTTTGTGGAAGTTATGAGGCTAAATTAAAAGGAAATTAAGAGATGAATTACTACTTTAATGGTAATTTTATAGAGGCAAACGATCAAATAAACAGCTGGAGATATGTAAGCTGAATCTGGTTTCCACTATAGATACAAGAAAACAAAATAACATTTCAAGACATACATAAATGGTAGATATAGTATCGATAGGCAAAATGAATACACCTTGATGCAAAGGCAATAACAAGTGAGGTACACAAAATCCAATAAAGCACGAAAAGATAGAAACTTTGAACAATCTTCCAGCTTAAAGTGACCAGCAAGAATCAGATATAGAGGAATTAATTGGGTGGTAAACAAATTCACCATTGGCTCATCAATTAACTTATTCAAGCTTGATCATTGGCCAAGGTGATCCAAGATGAAGCTTGAGTTTTACTGCCTAAATAACATAGTTTGAGCAGCCCAAAATTGACCAAGTTGTGTCCAAGTAATGCATCCTTGATTCGGCATTAACCCACATATTAGTAACATAGCTCTATACAGACTCTTAACTAGAACATACATAAACAAAAGTTGCCACATGCTGCAATGTAAGAAACTACAATTTTAAAAGGATAAAACTTCTCTAAATTTACAAAAATAGATCAGGTTAACATCAATATGGTAAGAGAATTTAAAAATACAGGTGAAGGTTGTATTAGGCAATAAACAGACTTTTTAAATTCTTGTCCAAACTCGTGAAGTTATTATTATTATTTCAACGACAGTGATGATAAACTAGAAAACAAGGTAGCCGCCCCCCTCCCCATATTATTATCCTCCCTTCCTCATCAAAATAAATCTGTGATCTCTCCTTTAAATAGCACTTAACCACAATCGCAGATGACCTCTAAACTAGTCAACTATACCATTTTCTAATTGCACCTGAGATCTTCATGGTGGACTGAATTAGCTAAAATGACATTCTTTCTATAAAACACAAGTACCTAAATAATGCCATCATATTAATTATGTAAAATATGAAACAAATCTTTTTTCTTCAATACAAGACATAACAGTAAGATTTTACATTTTACACCTAAAATAGATCTCACATCCTCATCAAGTTATGTATCTTTTAATAATATGACATAAACAATTTATTATGCTCTATTTTACTACTTCGGAGAGTTATTGTGAATTACCATTATTCATACTAGAGATCAAACCTCAATACTGATGGAATTTATCCCCATCATTATCTCAGCAACTGAAAACATCTTGTCCCAAAGATATAGGATTGTTAAATTGGTTTATTTACCAATATGAAATTGAAGATACCATTATGTATCACAGAATGGCAAGCATGCAGACGGTTTATAGCAGGGGAAAATGGTAGAACCAATGAACATTAAATATTCAGCCATTCACAATCACAAAAAACTAAAGAATTGCATTGCCTCATAAAAAGTTAATTAAAACATAATCACATGATAGGTTAAGAAATGAAAATCAATCTACCAGTGCTTCTGCTTCCATCCCTGCCACCCCAGGAAGAGAACCATGAATTGTTCCACTATCACCTTGTAAACAATGAAATGCTTTGCAACTCTCACGGTTCACAAAATCCACAGAATCAAGGTTGCCTTCCATGGATGAAACAGTTAAAGCATATCTCCGAGCTAATTCTGGCCAAGTAAGTCTGTTTATTGGGAGCAAATCAAGCATTATTTTCTTAGCAGACATCAAGTTGTCTGCATCTTTCTTTCTTCTCCTTCTTGACTTAGATTCACCACCGTCAAGATTAGAATCTACAAAAGTGGCAACCTTGGACTGAAGTTCACCAAGTAAAATTTTCAGCAGAGAGCAGAGAACATTTGCCAAAGCTACACCCGCGCATCCACTGTTGGTATTAGATGCCTGTCTGACATGTTCTGCCTGCTTCAAATACTCTGTTTCTTTTGCAATAAATGCATGATCGTTTTGCTGTGGCACATTTGAAGTTGAAGAACTCCCAAGAGTGAAGGAATAACCATTTATTAATTCTTCTTCAAGTTCCTTAAATGATAAAGGTTCTTCCAGTCCCAAAACTTCAGAGAAACGCCACAGCAACTCCCAAGACTAAACAAACAAAACAAAAATGGTAAGAATAAATAACTTGACAAAAGAGTATTCCACTAGACTGCTAGAATTTTTCAAGATATGTTGACAGTAGTAATTCCCATACCTGAAGAACATCACCTATTAATTCTGTTGGAAGCTTTGAGCTTAATGGCTTTCCAGGAGGAAAACAAGACTTCATCCCAGGATTCCTACATATCTGCTCCCTTGGTCTTTTAGAACATCTGAACAAATTACCATCTGCTTCTTTGTCATGTATATCGCTCTTCCTTTTAGCCTGAAGAAACCCACTTCCAACGGTTTGTGATGTCAATCTGTCCCTTCTTTTATTCAGGAATATATATTCTGCACAAACATGCACCTGAGGAAGCTGTTCTATAATTTCTTGCACAAAATCAGCATCTAGTCCAAATCTGTCCTGGTCTAACCACTTTATCAGTGCTCTGCAAGAAGTATCAAGCTCATCATTGCTTCTGATGCTATGCGGGATGTTGATAGGACCAGACAAACAACAAAATTTGGCCAATGAATCAAGAGATTCTGCTGATTCCTCACTTAGTGAGGCAAAGCACGATGACCACATTCTAAGTACATCATGCTTGCAACAAAATCTACAGACACCAGTTTGCCCATATACCTTGCGGCAAGCATGTGCTAAAGTTTGAGACACCATTCTCCATACCGAAGAAGACGATCTCCCTTCTACTAAAAATTCTCCAATGTCATCCACCAGCTCAATATAATTGGTTGTAGGTCTTCCAGGACTTTGTGAAAGGCAGTTTGACTTAGTTTCAGAATTATTCATTGGTTGAGAATTACAAGCTTCATCATTATTCTTTCCGGAATCTGATAAAGCATCATATTCCAAATGTGGGGGGCTATCATTAGAGAATATCAACTGAATATTTGTATAATCATCATCAAGCATACCGACTGGATCATCAGTTTCTACTTGGCCTTTACCATCTTGTTGGTCATAACTTGGCCTCAAGAGGACTGTTGACCCGACAGGGATAGGCTGAGTGGAGCAAGGATATCGTTTAACTTTAAAAAGTGGACCAAAATCTCCACCATCAGAGACATCACATACAAAAAGAGACCCAGTAATCTTATCATGCCAACTCGACCTGTAACCAACAGGCCAGATCTGGCTATTACTATGATAGGAGGGTCGTGGATCAACCTCACCCACAGCTAAAATACAGAAGTCTTCAAACTGAACTGGAAGTCCAACCTGGAATGGTTGTTATAGAAAGATCAGGTCTCAAAGAATGCTGAAAGAGTTGATTGCAAAATATATAATTGAAATTATAATCCCTAATGATGGCAATTATATGTTCACTTTGGAAAATATCAAAATATTAAAACTTACTTTAGCTTGCAAAGAATCATCCGCACCATTTTCCTTTGTGTTAGCTTGTGTGACACTCAAATTACTCTTCAACTTGCAGGCCTGACTTTCTGCAGCCTCAATACCTAAAGAGTACTCGGCAACAAAACTGCTTTTCAAATTTTCTTGAGATTCTTTTAAGTTCTTGACTTGTGAAAACATTAAGGAGTCCTTTCTTTTTTGGTTTAAATGCAATCCTTTCTGCATCAACGCAAAGCCATCTCTTCTACCCTGAGATTCCACCGAATGGTACTTTGACACCAAGCCAAGATGGCAGGCAACATCAAACATTGAATCAAACCCATTTCCATCCAGAGCATAGTATTTCTGAAATGCTGCTCTCTGAATTGAAGTATCACAAGCCCAAAGACTATCTTTAACCATAGAGCTAGGAGTCTCTCTCAAATTTCCACCAAAGTTCAGCTGCTGCTGCACTATATCTTCGTAGCCTGATTTAACTAAGCTTGCCACACTACCAGATGCCTTAAGAAGATCAAGCTGACTCCGCCCATGTAACAAACTTGAATGTGTTGCCAGGCCATTATTTGAGCTGCGAATTAAAGAAGTATCACACGCACTAAGCCCTCTACAAACCACAAACCATATAAACATCAATTGTCACATTATAAACTAGTGAAAGTATACAGTGTAGCAGGGGTACCACATCATCCATACAACTAAGCAATGAATTCATGCCACCTATGCATTATTTTCTCTTTCATCTATTCCAGCAAGCAATATTAGTGGTCTATAATATGACCATCAATATGGCATGAAATTATTGGCTTGTTGTACCTGTGGTACGGTACCCTCATGATATCATAGTCTTTCCTACCGAGTAAGCAAATGGCTATAAACAAGAGAAACATATTATATAACCAAGTATCAAAAACACCCGTCACAGCAAATAAAAAAATTCAGTCAAGAATAAATGTGTTTTCTCACAAAATGTTAAACTTAAGGCAATGAATTTTCATTGCCAAGGGCATCTAACTAAAATTGAACATGAAGACTAAAAGTAAATAAGGTCTAGTTAATCAAGACATTGAAGAAAATCTGTTAAGCATTTTACTCAAATCTCAATTAAGTGAATCAGCAATAAGAAACATTACCATACACAAGTTGCCGCATAATGCAGGCATAATACACTATAGTTATATTGCATAGCAGCCGCTCAGATGTTCAAAGGTAAGACTTTTAGCAGCTGCTTTCCTCTAATTAAAATTTACGAAAATATAACCAAAAGTTTCAAATTTCAAGTTACAGCCAAGCAAAGTTATAGAAAAATAACTCAAAATGCGGCAAACAACAAAGAAGAGGAAAAAAGAAAGAGAAAAAACCTACAAAAACTCCAAATTTATAACAAAAAGAAAAAATATCAAGTCCAAAGGACCAACTTTAAGCAGAAATTAAATATTATACCCAGAGTTGTGGAATTCACAAGTTTCTTCTTCAACAGGCGGCAAGGCATTGATGTCCAGAAGTCCAACAGCAGCACCGGCAGCGCGAATCCCCTGGCCGGAGTGGTGGGGTTCAGGAGTGACGTCAGCTGGTGCACCTGTGACGACAGTTTCGCGAGGAGAAGAGAGAGGAGTCTCGTTAAGATCGATGTCAAACGGCTTCGAACGGCTCTCCTCAAGCTTGGAGTGGGAGCCGTTACCGTTAAGCTCCATGGCCGTTTAAAATTTGAAAGAGAAGAAAGGAAGAAGAGTTTTAATTGAGTGTTTTAAGGCGCATTATAGAGAGGCTTGAGCTAAATTGAGGTGGAAGAAGGAAAAGATCGAAGGTCGAATAGAGAAAAAGGAGATAATGAAGGGGACGAGAACCTAAAGGGAGTTTGATTCTCTGTGTGAAGCTCAGACTCGGACTCAGTCTCAGTCTCAGACATTTGGGCTCTTCTCGGGACTCTCGAAAGAGAGAGTGCGTTTGAGCGTGTTTTCTCTGCCTTTCCACGCAACTAAATGACGAAAAACTCCTCGCCAGTGGAGGGAAACGAAGTCGTTTTTAACAGTAATGACTAATGACATGATTTTGACTGTTTTGTGTTGGCAAGATCATGTTCCTTCTATGGGGGACTTTTTGTTTATGACACGGAGCACGCTTCGCTTCTCCAAAGGAGTCTTTCTGTTTCTCTCTCCCCTCTGGGACCAGACATTGTTCAATCTCATCCGTTGGTTAAGATTCAAAGGAAATATCTAATCAAAAGTTCTACAGTACAAATTTTGTTCAATTATGACCCAAAATTGGAAGGATCTTTTTCCCAGCATGGAGCTTTGTTCCCATTTTAGACATATGTAATCATCCAATTACCAAATTATAACTCTAGAGTAATACTATGCTTCATCATAAACTTATTAACCACTTTATTCACCTTTGTTAAAATTATATATGGTACCCATACTATATTTATGATACCCATCTTATGTTTTATATTTACAAAGATTAGTAAGATGGTTAATAAATTTGTAAGTAAACATAACATTATTGATAATTCAATTAAATACAGATTCGGGAAACAATGCATTTAAACATCAAGTTTACAAAGCTTTACAGATTGAAAGCTCCAGTAGCAATTGCTGCAGTTCTGGGATGTCACAACAAATTGCTTAAAACATCAGATGACCCAAAACCAAGCCACGATTGATCCAGCAGCTAGACCGACAACCAAGAACAACACAATCACTATTCCCGCCGTCTCTGCATGTTGTAATTGAACAACTTTAGGAGCCAAAATCATCAATACACTTGTTAAGTAGCCATTGGTTAGCCCCAAAAGACAAGTCAATATTGTCACTGGAATTTCTGTCCGGAAAAATTTGGGACCATGCAAGCACCCCAAGAATAGAGGGAAAAATAACAATCTTGCAACACAACCACCAATTGCAACCTTTTCATTCTCGAGGAGATACACTGCGGTCAATGATTTACCAACCAAGTCAAACACATTGTAGCCAGTAATCAGGACGATACCATACCAGTCCTTAAGAAGAGCAGAGTGTACATCCTCTGTTATATATCCTGGAAATATGGACAGTGTTACAATGTAGATGAGGATGATTCCAAACCCATACCACTTGATTCTCCTGACAATGTGCCACACGGTTGATCTCCAAACAGGCCCAGTCAAAGAACCTTTCGCCTCTATCTCCTCATTTACAGCCTGAATCTTGAGGTCTTGATGGTACTTAATAACTGGAAGTTTATGTGCAACATTGTAAAAGACAGTGCATACAGCCATAACCACTATCCCAACAGAAAAGTAGAGGTTTGCACTTTTTCTCAGACCACTTTCATCTTGTGAATATAAAGCTTTTGTTACAAGCCGTAGAACTGAAACAAGCACCCCTGCAGTCAACAATTTTTAGAAATTTTGATTAGTACCATAGTAAGTTTCTTCAACTTGAAAAATACAAAATCTAGAGGCACTCCATCGCTGTTAAACCATATTATGCACATAAACTTGGTAATGGCACTCATATTCACATTTGTAACAGGGTTATTCAACTCATACAAATAAGTCTTGAAAGATACTATAAACTCTTACACCAGGAGCTTAAAGCTATTCTTGCTCCTCCAAAAATAGTAAAAATGCTATTGAGCTAGAGTTTGCTTAAACCTTTAGTAGATTAAGGTCATCTTTGGAAATGAATTGGGTTTGTAGATAAAGCACATGTTTGGAAAGGAGTAGGGAGAATGAAATGGAAAGGGAACAGAAAGAATGGAGGAATAAAATACCACTGTTTGGTAACAAAATGGAATCTTGAATAGAAAGGAATAAAATATAAATAGTTTAGACAAAAATACCCTACAATTGAAAATAATCGATATTTATTATTTAATAGAAATTTCAAAATAAAATCAAAACTTTACTTTTAAATACAAAATAATTTAATCATAAAAAATAAGCATTTAAACTCTTATAATATATCTTAGTTTTTTAATTCACAATTATATATTTTAAAATAAAAAATATAATCTATATACTGATATTTTATTCGTTACAAATGTACCATTGCAAATTGTAGTATAACGGTACACTTTAACAATTGCTTCCCTAGCAATTAAATAAAAAATATTTACTAAATAAATACTAACATAATATAAATAATAATTATCATATAATTAAAATTTGTTAGAATAATAAATTTAAAGAAAATAAATAACTGTCAGATAAGTCACCAATCGCCAGAAGCAATCACAGCGCTGAGATGCATCTAACCATGCAGGTGTTATCAGCAACATTTGGCCACACACTGCATGAGTTGATTCAGTAGCCACCACAACACATACCACATCATGCCAAATGTGACATCCTAAATTGATGAAAATCTAAACAGTTGAATGGTTTAGAGTTTGCTGATCCATCTAGTATCAATAGTATGAATGAACATGCAGTGAGAGCAGCAGGAGGTAGTCTATACAGTGATTTCTGAGCCAATTTTTTAGTTCTTAATCTTTTAATTAATATTAAAGTTTATTGCATTTATACTGTATTAGGAGGATATATTCTAATATTTAGACATGCATAAAACGAAAGAATCACGCCTATCTCACTATAGAGGAATTAGGAAGTGTGAGAATTTCTAAGGAATCCCAGTTTTAGTAACCCAAAAGTACAAGTAGAGATTCCTTATAACTGAACAGCAATCTAATTTTGGAAATTCCCAATCCATTCCCTATTTTCCCTGTCAACCAAACACTGCCTAAAAAAATACTTTGCTCTATTTAGTGCAAAAGCTTGAAAATGACTAGATTCTAGGAACACTCATCAAATAAGAGTTTGCTCAAAGAAAATCCATTTGCAGATTGCAGTAATGTAAACTAGCTAACAAGCATTAAAATTTGACTTCCCATGTGAACAACTGAGTTCATTATACTTCACTCAAACTAAACTTTAATCTTAAGCAACTTATTTATCAATCTATTAATTCTCTAACATTCACCATTAGCACCAAAAAAAACAAAAAACAAAAAAACAAAAAAAAATTTAAGAAGTAATAAAATTTAAACAAATTACCAGAACCAGCTGTGCCAGCAACAACCGCTTGCATGTATCTCTCAGGCAACTCCCCAGCAGATCCGATCAACCCACCTTGCACCAAGGCATCCGCCAGACCCGAAAGCGCGACTGCCCCGACTGTGACATAAAACCCGTCCTTCAACCCGACCCGACCCTTTATATAAACAGCATCCATGACCGGCACTACAAGCAAAGACACCACAAACAGGCCCAGACCCACATTGATTCTGACATAAGCGTCCGATTTATGGGCGTAGAAAATGATTATGAGAAGGCAGAAGAGTCCGACGAGCATGTAAGTGACGGCGAAGACGCGGTCGACGGAGGCTTCTGGATAGAGGTAGGAGAAGTAATCGACGGCAGTGATGAAGGCGTTCCATGGGAGCAAGTAGCCTATGCCTAAAACGAAGTAGATTATGTATCCCAAATGAAACGTGTCTTTAGGTGGTGGTTTTTGAGTGGAGAGAGTTGAATTTTGGAGCAGAAGAGATGATTCCGAGTCGGGTTCGGGTTTTCCGGAGAGACCCATGGGGGATTGTTCGGTTTGGTATAGAAAGTTAAGTAGCGTGTCAGTTTGTGCATTAATAATGGGAGATAATTTGGTTTCGTTGGCGAGGCAGGCTGCGCGAGAGATTCGGGGAACAATAAATGACGTCGTTTTTGGATTATCAGGCAACTACTGTAAACAAGTGAATTCTTCACGGTAATACCCTATCCATATTTTATTATAACACTTTTTAGATCATGTGTATTATTAAAAAGGCCCGAACTACAAATCCCCACCCTGGATTAGCAAAACTATGATCATCTCTGGATTCCCAATATCTTCTTCAATTTCTTTAATAAAACAAATATACTTATTTAACTACCTTTCACGTTGTGGGACCAACTGGAGCATCAAGGAAATCTGTTTGATTCTATCACTTATTAGTTCCATTTGAAGAAAGAAAAGAGATTGATCTCTCTTTCGAGGAAATTTAACTCCCAGGTCATCCCAAGTTTCCATTTAACAAAATAGCCATCAAAATCTTTTTAATTTTTTTTGGGTTAAAAAATATGATATGGCACACTTAAGTGTAATTAAAGCAGCAAAAAATATTATGGTGAAAAGATTTAAACATTTGTGGGTTAAAGTATAATAAAGGGAAGTTGATTTAAAATTTGAAAGGCAAAACACATTTCTCTCAACTTCTCTTTCTCACAACAGGATTCAAACACCTTTCTTTCTCTCGTTTTTTCTTCCAATTCTCTGTAATTTCTCAATTTCTTTGCTCTTTGCATTTTTGTCATTCCTTGTCATTCCCGATTAAGTTATAATGGCTGAGATCCTTAAAGAAAAAGAAAAAAACTCATCTACTCCCCAAATTGTAGGCACCATTGGGTCTACGAAAAATGGAGAAGAAGAAGTTGTGGCGGAGTAACTTTCGATGACTAAAGTTGCTCCACTAGGAGAGGAGACGGCGTCGACAGAAGACATTCTATTGGCAGAACAAGGGAGGTAAGAGTTGAAATTGAAACTCGAGAGGAAGATGCCGACGCAAATTCCAAGCGACAAAGAGTAAAAGCAAAGGATCGCTTAAGCGACCAAGAGTAAAAGCAAAGGATCGCTTAAGCGATCTAGTATATGACAGAAGATCGTTTAAGAGATCTGGTATAAGCGATTTTAGATCGCTTAAGCGATCGTGCATCTGGGCAGAAGTTGATTCTGCTTCGGACATGATCGCTTGAGCGATTATAAATCGCTTAAAGCAACCAACGTTAAAAGCAAAGGATCGCTTAAGCGATCATACGTGTGGGCACTTATTTATTGTCTTGTTCATGATCGCTTAAGCGACCAATAATAAAAGCGAAGAATCGCTTAAGCGATACACTTAATCGCTTAAGCAATTGTGC